ATTTATCATCTATAGCACACGGATTTGACATCCTATGCATTTAGGTGTAAAAATCAAGCAAGCAAGGCAACTCTGTGCACAAATAGTATGTAACAGTATGTGCAAATACACCTTTTAAAAAAAAAAAATTCCACCTAAATACCTGTGTGCAGTAGGGTTGCCAGGTGTGCAGTTTTTTGGGGAATGCCTGGTCGAAAAAGGACCCTGGCGGCTCCAGTCAGTACCGCTGACCGGGTTGTTAAAAGTCCAAATCAGCAGCACAGTAGGGCTCCCAGCCACTGGGAGCTGCGGGGGCAGTTCCTGCGGATGGGGTAGCACGTGGAGCCGCCTGGCTGCAGCTCTGCGTAGGAGCCGGAGGAGGGACATACTGCTGCTCCTGGGAGCTGCTTGTGGTAAGCGCCACCAGGAGCCTGCACCCTGACCCCCTCTCCTCCTCCCCCCCATGCCTCAACCCTGATCCCATCCGAACACCTTGATCCCAGCCTGGAGCACCCTCACCCCCTAAGCCAGCTCGGTGAAAATGAGCGAGTGAGGGAGGGTGGGGAGAGCGAGCGAGAGAGGGAGGGAGGGAGAGGGGGCGGAGCCTCAGAGGAGGGGCGGGGCGGGGAGGACAACGGTGTTCCGTTTTGTGCGAGTAGACAGTTGGCAACTCTAATGTGCAGGCACCATTGAATCTTCTACAAGCACTGCTGAGGTGCGGATATGGGGAAATCTCTCTAACTTGCAAACACTACATGCCCACTTTGTGCAACACATCCAGCACCAAGGGGCCTTAAACCTAGGCAGGGGAAGTCTCTGTTGCAGGTGAGCTGGTCCTTCACCAACCACCCCTTTTCAACCCCAGGCATTGGGGGAAGGAGCAGGTATGCTGGGGCGAGGCATGGCGAACCAGAGCTCTGCTATGTCCCATCTAGCTCTGGCGTAAGGTCCCTGAGGGACGTTACCTGAGCAGTAGGGCTGCACCTACCTTGCACTGGGGTCAGGTGGTCTCAAATCAGGCCACTGCAGCAGGATTCCTGATGCACCTACCATGAGTCCATTATATTAGAGAGAGAGAGAAATGCTACATTTATGCTACATTCCCCACTAGTTTCGGGGTAGACTGTCATGTCTTTGCCCTTTACACAATATTAAGAATATGTGGAAACCACATGGACAGCTGGTGGCCAAATAACCATGTTTACTAACCACATACGCGGCCAGACTACATGTATCCACATCTGCTCTGTTAGGTTCTGGGGGCTTCTTCAGTAGAGGACGGGGAGTCCCACTAGAGGGCTCCCAAGCCATTGAAAGGGACACCATCCAATGCCTACACATTACATAATGGTTCTTCTAGTTAGGTTTATAACCACACGCAAATACGCAGTCAGTACAGCACTCCAGCATGTACATGGCTCCTCAGACACTTCTGCACCCAGCTGGCAGGAAGGCTCGACATCTCCTTTCAAAGCCCAAGGTACTGCTGGTAAAACCTTAAATTATTGCAAGGGCTAGAAAAGTGACAGGCCTTTCCATTTGGAGCTCTTTAATGCTTTAGCCGGGCTTTCAGGTTCCCTAGCACCAGTTTCTAAACCCCTCTGGGGACAGCAATCACTTTAAAGCAACCCCCTTCTCTCCTCACCCCGAGACAGGGAAGAGCTCTGCAGCTGGCTCAAGCTATTCTTTGGGGGCAAAGAGGGGAAAGACTGACGGAAAGAGCAGTTTGGGGGAAACTGACTTTATAAAGCTGAGCAGCCTGCTGCTGAATCGGGGGGACGGCTCTGTGCTGAAGGCGTTTCTCTTGCTGTTCGTACACCAGACAGAGGTAATGCTTGGAAGATGGCACCAGAAAGAGGTTTGACACTGGATACGTCTAAACAGCAAGAGATGGTGTGATTGTAGCATGGGTAGGCAAACCAGAGCAACCTTTAATCCAGTTTGCACAGGTAACAATAGTAGCCTAGATACAGAGGCACAGGCTAGCTACCCGAGTACAAGCTGGCTGAGGAGCCCAGCTGCTGGCCCGCATGTACTCCAGTTGCTAGCCTGTGGTGAAGCCCATGCCACCACGTCTACACCACTATGGTTACCCAAGCTAGCTACTGTCAAATCATCAGGCCGTCTGAGAGGAGCAAACCTTCACCCCAACAGGCAACATCTGAACTGGGTATATAACCAGGGCGAGACCTGGTTAGCTTAGACACAGATGCTGCGTAAATTAGGCCAGATGAGAAAGGAGAGGCTTATCTGCAATTTAACATAGTAATAAAAAAATGCCCCTGCAAAACTACTGTTCCACCTGAGTGATTAAAGCTCTCTGAATGACAGATCTGAAGAAAGTTTTGGTATTTGACGTCTCTGGAGCCTGTGTGAGGATTTGCAGTTGCCAGTCGAGATCTGGCTGCTCACAGCTGGAGGTCTGATTAATTCCATTGTTTATCTGGAAAGTTTTCAGGCTCTTCAAAAAAAAGTTATTTGTAAAATCCTTTCGAAAATGGGTTGGCAAGTTCACACGCACACAGACGCAGCAGCCACCTAACTACCTCCCCTCTGCCAAGCTCGAACTCCTCAATTAACAGCAGCAAACATTTATTTATAGGATCCCTTGCACCCACAGACCTCTAGGTTCCTCGCATGAGTGTGAATAAAATGAGCAAAATGAGCGCAGTACAGCCTAGGAGTTTTCAGAAAGAGGTTGCAAAAACCTCTGAGTAACCCATTCCCGGTATACTGCGAAGAGGGATGCTGTTGAGTCAAGGCAAGCGTATAGATTGATGGACATGGTACCACTGCTCCTAGAAGTTCTGGCCGTACCATCCTTGACTAACTTCTCAGAACATGGAAGCCTGGGGTGCGCTGCTTGTCTGCAGACACGTCAGGTATTTCTGAGACACCCTGCTGTGCTATGCTTCCTGGAAGGTGAGCCCTCTCTTGGAGGTCTGTTTTCTGAGACTTTCTTGAATCAGTGCCTGTTGTGACCGTCATCCAGAGAAGAGACTGGATTTGGTTGTGAGGAATATAAAGGGGATTCTTTATTGAAGCTGCTGGACACAGACCGACCTTGTGGTTCTCACGGCTTCTCCAGCTCCCAGACTAACCCAACCTGTGCTGCCTTGTGTCACCACACAGGGTGTTCCTAAATTCTGACCTGGACTATACAGTCCAGAAAGGACTGCTCCCAACATGACAGTACAGGAACGTTTAAGGACAAGCAAGGCCAGGAATTAGGAGATCAAAATTATATTATTTTTTAAAAATTGTTTTGCATTCTTTTCCCAAACAACTATTCTCTTTTAATCCCAAAAACATTTACTTTCTAAAAGCAGCATCATGAACGATGGACTATCTGACCTTATGATTTGTTATTAATGCAGATGGTATTTCTGGAGTTATTGACTTCTGAGAGGCATTTGCACGTCTAGACACTGGTTGAATCACACAGCAATAACACCCTGGCATTATTCCACAATAAATCAGGCCTTTGACTATTATTAAGAATATTACTAAGACTTTCATTAACCTTATCTGCATGTTCCAGGATACTCCTGTTTGCAGCTGCCAAAACTTAGACTCCTCTATGTAACTTAATCTAGGCTTTAAATCGATTAATCCTCCCATAGGTGCGGGATGTCAGCAGCGCCAGATGGATGAGAGAACAGTCGCTTTGATCTACCAGCCTGCGGTGCCCTCTGTAGACAAAGGAAATGATTCTGCAAGTGTGCAGCATGCCCTTAACTTTCATTGACCCGTTGCGTCCTGCAGGAGACCCCAGTTAAACATTCATGAAGGCGAGGCGTTATCCCGCTCCTGTGAAGTTACAGGCGCTCATCTTTATTCTCCTGTGGGTCTTACAGACAAAGCATTAGCTGCATGACGTTCAGCCCCTAGGACATCCAAACCAGACCATAGCACAGTGGGGTCTGGGAAAGGTTTCACCCACTCTGCCTTTGAATGCAGACCTCCACATGCGCCTCTCCTCCTCTTGGTCCCACAACACACGTGGGCTTAGCAAATATGAAGAAAGCTTCAGTCGTGCAATATGCCCAGGATCAAGGTGATATCGTCGTGTACGGGAAGAAAATGGCTATAGGACAATCTATCCAACTTTGTGTTGCCCTTGAGGCTACCATTCCTGATGCCATCATACCCTCTGCAGTGGGTGCTAATTGCAGTCTGGGACAATAGGGCAGAACGAGGTACACTTGTAACGATCAAACTACTTGAGTGCAGGTGGTCACTAACCTATCACTCACTCTGTGGCATGGGTGTTTTGGAAGGACACTGAAAGGAGCAGAACAAGAACTGGTTTGGAACAGGAGCCCCTACGCTGATAGGACATCGGCATGGCTGATAGGACCTTACACGTTAACAGAGAGTGGTGTTTTCTTGCCCCCTCTACAGTAAGTACAACACTGGGACTCCTGAATATCTGATGTTACTGGGGAATTTGTTTATGCTTCTGCAGAGTCCTGAGGATGCTGCCAAGGATTGCAGGAACAGGTGTGTGCAGGTGAGCTTTTTACACACTGGGCCACTCCTTCAGTTTACATAAATCGAGTGAGCTCCTTTTTACGTCAATAGAGCTATACTCATTTAAACCCCAAGAAGGATCTAGCCAAAGTGTTGTGAAATAGCAGCAATGGCTTGTTTAGGGGCAGATCCTCCTCTTTCTTCATGTCTCCTACCCCCCATCATTCCACCATTTACCAGACATGGTCCCCCAACCGATGGCCAGAAAGCCTGACAGGTAGCAGCCAGGTGTGATAAATGCAGTGCAGTCTCTCAGTCCCTTTCCTGCCTATACTGGGAAATTAAACTAGCCAAAACAGGGTGTTAACTATGTAGGAGTGTGAGGGGTTAGCAGAGGACAGGGCTTCAGGGTCTGTCAAGATCGGTGTTTTTCTTATCGATATTTTTTGCTCTCAGATTATGCCCTGTAACTAGCAATCCTCAACCAGGACTTGGCTTGTCACAATTAGAGCTCCCTGTATGTTGGCTGGGTCTTTCATTCTTTTTACCTTTCTTTGAATTCTAGAAAAACTTTCGCCAAGCTGCTTCCTCCAGACATCATACAGACGTCGATGGCCCTCAGGAAATTGAAGTGCACTTTAATTAGGTCCTAAAACAACAAAAAAATCAATACGTTAAAAAATCTGAAACTCACTCTAGGCGCTAACATGTAAAGTGTTTAGTTAATGAACATGCATTTCTTTAAGTAACCTTGTAGTCATTTTTTGGATATGTCTAAACAGACTGCTGCAGCTCTCCCACCGAGGCAGGTAATCTACCTCCCTGAGAGGCAGTAGCTAGGTAAACAGAAGAATTCTTCCATCAACCTAGTGCTGGCTGCATCAGGGGTCATAGCTACGTCTGTCACGGGTGTGGATTTTTCACTCTCCTGAGAGACGCAAGTTCCCAGGGTAGACCAGCTCTTTGCCTATTAACTGTTTTAATGCAAGTGACTCCAGTGAGATATAGCCCTAAATCACAATAAATATGAGGGTGTAATTAAGTTAGAAGGTTATACAATGATAAATGCATAGCGGGGTTCTGTGCATATTAAACTCCCTTTACTGGGTCTAGTGGGAGCAGTCTAGCAGCATACAATAACCTGCCCTAATCCCATAAAGCCCACACAACGCAGCCTTGTGAAAATGGACCAAGAAGGTGGAGCAATGCCTGCATTTAATCTGAATCACTGACATGATGCGCCTAGGCTGATAATGGAACAAAGGCGTCTGGCCGCCTTTGGTTAGGAAAACTCAACTGCTTCATTGCAGCAACCTGTGCGGCTGCCCTCACCACATGCCAGACTGAAGCAAGAGCTAAGCCCCCTACGCTACTGCAGAGTAAACAAGCCAGGAAGGTGCACCCAAGAAGGTGCACGAATACACCCTGAAGTCTCCATTAACGAGGCTCACGCTGTTCTCTCAGTCCTGCCAGCTGTCTTTGGTGGTGCTACGATGGGAGAAGAGCCATTCATCATCTTGCCATCCCCGATGGCACTTAGGTGATAACATGGTGGCCACCTGGGACAGGAGGAGGATCTGGCCATATGTGGAGACCGAGGCAGAATAATAGGTCAGATAACTTATTGCCTCTCCTTGGACTGTCTGGGCAAGGGGTAGGAGAGCAGCCAGAGACTGATATTGGTAGGTTAAACACCAAAAAATCAGAAACCGATCATAAATCAGATCTAGAAAGCAGGCTGAACATAGAATTCATTGTGACTTCAGTGGGATCCCTGCATGAAGGGGGAAACTCACCCTCTGAAGAGGGCTAGCAAGAGGACTAGGCAGGACCTAGCCTGGCTTAAGTAGGACTTAAATACCATGTAGGCCTTATGCTACCTTTCTGCCTGGGGTGAATCTTCATCCAATAAGCATCTAACAGAACTTGGCCCTGTAACAGCCTCACTGTACACAGAGGAAAGCTTCAAATGCTGGATTATGGCATCAAGGCAGGATCAAACTGGAGGAGAATCTAGGCTGTTTGTGCACATGCATAACAACTTATATAGTATTTATATAGCACTCTTCACCCATAGAGCTCAAAGCACTTTACACAAGCAGAAGGTACCATTATCTCCAAGTCACAGACAGAGACTGAGCTAATGAGGTGAACTGACCTGCCCGAGTTCTCCAAGCAGGCCAGTTGCAGAGCTGGGTATAAAACCCGTCTCTCACGTCCCTGTCGAGTGTGATACATACAGAAACATGCACTCTGACTTAGTGAGTATGTATGTAATTCTTTAAACCAGATATATCTGAAATACACACACACACACTAAAAACACAGGCAAAATAATTTCCTTGTTGTAAAACCGTCTCCTTGTCTTTATACAATACCTAAATTCCACTTGAGTGTTAAAGGGCCCAGTCATAGCTCCGTGGCCATAACAACTGAACCCACACAGACTAAAGCAATGCATTTTACATGAAATCTGAGTGCTGTTTCTTAAACAGGATGAGGCATAAGCTGCATCTGAGAGGAGCAAAGATTTAAGCAGTGATGTTTAGACTCTGTTACCTCCAAATTGATAAAAATAGATTCCATCTCTTGTGGAGTCAGTACCAGCTTTAATGGATTCATATAGTTCTGTAAGAGGTAAATGGAAAACTTATTGAAATAAATGAGCAAATGCAATAAGATTCTTTCTTTTTTAAGCTAAAATTGTTGCAGTGGTTGAATTTTCCGGAGAGGAACCTGGGTGAATTTTCACACTTGCCAAGAGATAAGACTGACAAGACATTTACCATGCAACCTGCCTCACTGTGCTTATGCTCAGCCACGTCTCTGCAGGGTTAGGGTTGGACCGTCTGAGACTGGGATGCCACAAATGATTTGTGAGGTGGTCAGGTTGTCAAGTACATGAACAAGATTTCACTTGAACTAAAAGCCGAGCTGCAAGCTAAGTGAAAAGCTTAAGGCATTTACCACCCACTCGCGGAGGAAGCTCTGAGCCATACTACAGTTAATTTAAATTAACTGCACACTCTCGCTGTGTGGACTCAGTCAGTGTTTCTCAAACTGGGGGTCCTGACGCAAACAGGGGGTTGCAAGTCTATTGTAGGGGGGTTGTGGTATTGCTACCCTTATTTCTGTGCTGCCTTCAGAGCGGGGCAGCTGGAGAGCGCTGGCTAGGCACCAAGCTCTGAAGGCAGCATCACCACCAGCACTGGCATGGAAATAAGGCTGGCACGATATGGGGGATAGTCACTTGGATGGGGGGGGAGGGTGTCTTCACAGCCTGAAATATTTTCCAAAGAGGTCCCAGCAAAAAAAGTTTGAGAATCCCTGGATTAAGTTATACCTCTTAAGAGGGAGAGGGAGAAGGAACACTACCCAAGTGAGCTGTGGAAGGATTAATGCCTGCGGAGACACTCGGGAGATGGGAAAGACACCCTGGCTTTACCTTTAGAAGTTACTCCCTGAGCATTTCTCCCCATTAACAGGTTTCAGAGAGGTAGCCGTGTTAGTCTGTATCAGCAAAAAATAACGAGGCGTCCTTGTGGCACCTTAGAGATTAACAAATTTATTTGGGGATAAGCTTTTGTTGGCTATAACCCACTTCATGTTCTGTGCATTTATACCTCCCTACTGTATTTTCCATTCCATGCATCTGATGAAGTGGGTTTTAGCCCACGAAACCTTATGCCCAAATAAACTTGTTAGTCTCTAAGGTGCCACAAGGACTCCTCCCCATTAAGAAGAGCCATATTCAGGAAGGTATGCGGGGGAGGGATAGCTCGGTGGTTTGAGCATTGGCCTGCTAAACCCAGGTTGTGAGTTCAATCCTTGAGGGGGCCATTTAGGGATCTGGGGCAAAAATTCGGGATTGGTCCTGCTCTGAGCAGGGGGTTGGACTAGATGACCTCCTCAGGTCCCCTCCAACCCTGATATTCTATGATTCTAAATATGGCCCTATATGTATTCAAAAGATATGTACATATCTAGCGATCTCTGTAGACAGAGATATCTATCAAACTCTCTAGATACACCTACAAAAACACATTTCATGATTGTTAATATGTATGCAAATTAAAGTGTTAAAACTGCCAGCTGCCCTGCACTTTATCAGTTTTCTGCTCGTTGGGATGATTACTGTTAGTTTTTGCACCCTGTCCCATTTAAAACATTAGCCACTCAGAGGGGGGAAAAGCATGATTCATGATCCTGAGCACCATACAGTACATAGTATGCCTGTATCCAATGTGAGTGGATGGGTGGAGGTTCTTTTTCTTGCTATTGTTGACTTGCTAGTTTTTCACAAAGTAATCATCAGTTGCAATGGTGAATAGCATCAGTTTTAGCTGTTTGATGAGTAGAAAAACTCCCAGTCATCTTGAATTTTTGCCTTTGAAGAATGCAGGTGACATGACTACATTGGAGATGCTTTTCTGAACCAATGGGCATTAATGGGAAAGTCTGCCCTGTCCATAGCTACAGAACATACAGACGCAATATAGTTTATTACAGGACCTTAGCCCCTCCACAGCAAAAAATCTACTCTTATAGCTCTCCTGGTTCATAACCAAGGGAATAATTTACCTCTTCCTCTGGGCTGAAACACAAGGTTAATAGTTGTTTTCAAAGAACAAGCAGGATGTACATCACTAATATGAACGTCAAAGCCTTTCTTTTTAAAAGCCTGGAATCTTGTTTAATTGTGCGGCTCTCTTTCAGAGCTTCTTTGCAGGAAAGGCAAACATTTTTAAAGGGAAAGGAAAAGAAGTAGAAATGATAGCTGGACTTTTTTTTCTTTTTTTTTTTTAATTCTTCTCATCTGTAATCACTGAAGGGGAAAATAATATCCAGCCTCCAGTCGGCTGCATTGCATCTTTCTGTTGCTGAAGTGTTCGTTCTTTTAAGAGAAAGAGAGAATGCACCCAGAATTTATCAAAACCAATTAAAGCCCGTGAGTGCATGCAGTGAAATGTTACTTTTAATCCAATTAGTTTCAATGGCAAGTCAGCACGGCTTCAGCACTTTCAAGAACTGCCTGGAATAAATAGGTTCTTTCAAATTATTCAATGGCGATCAAAGAGTGATAAGAAATCTACAAAAGCAAGTCTTATCTAGAGATTGTGCCTCGGCCACATAAAGAATTGAGTGTGTCTTACCGCTGAGGTTGGAATGGGGGGTGGGGTGAATACCCTTTTGAAATAACAAGGTGGTTTTTAAGTATACTTTAAATATGCAGTGATCAGATAAAATACGCTCTTTTTTTCTGCACGTTATGGTACTCAGCCTGGGCTTACGTTTGAATGCCTCTGTCCTGCCTTCTATCACAAACACCCAGTACTTTTTTCATGGTCTGTGTGTATAAAAACATCTTCTGTATTTTCCACAGTATGCATCCGATGAAGTGAGCTGTAGCTCACGAAAGCTTATGCTCAAATAAATTGGTTAGTCCCTAAGGTGCCACAAGTCCTCCTTTTCTTTTTGCGAATACAGACTAACACCGCTGTTACTCTGGAACCCAGTACTATGGAGCTCTAGAAGCAAGAACTAATCCAGCAAGAGTAATGCAAGATCAAATGCAACCAGAAGCTGTTGACATGAAACGCAGTGATAGAAAAGAAGGCCGGCTCTCACCTTTTCTATGTCTTCAAGTGTCTTGTAATATTTGGCCTCGGTTTCCTGAATTTCTAGCAAACAGCAATTTCTTTTGTCATCTTCTGTCATTCCCATTTTCTAGAGAAATAAACAACACATGATTGAGTGTCCTTAGAGTGTTTCAACCTGCTTGCTTATAGTGGCTCTTTAATGTGTCATTCAGTGACAGCAAACTCCCAACTAACACAAGCTCAGGAAGCCAGAAACCAAATTTTCAATCATTTATGTGAAAGGGATCCATTTCTGTCTGCAAAACGTTGGGTGAAATCCTGGCTCTGCTGAAGTTAACGGCAAAACTCCCATTGGATTTAATGTCACCCTTTGCATTTACTATACAATTTACATAAAGGACGAAAACCAAAAAGATGTCAGTCAAAAGAAAAATTCTCTCTCTCTTTTTTTTAAAAAGTTGTTTGCTTGTGTGGAGCTCATAAGTGCCTAAATGGGACTTAGGTGGTACACTTGTATGGGTCACCAGTGTTGCCAACCCCCGTGATTTTATCCTGACTCTCGTATTTGGTGCTTTTCTTAAAGCCCCAGCTCCTGATTATCTGAGAATCTCAGCTTTCCTTTTTGCTAGAAAAGTAAGATTCTAGCCCTCATGGTTGCACAGAAAAGCTAGAAAATGTGATGCCCTAAGTGCTCAAAAAGCAGAAGGCAAATATGAAATAACCCCAAATGTATTTTTTTTTTAAACTCATGATTTTTAGCGCAATCTCATAATTTGTGGATGGGGCCCTGGGTCATGATTTTTGAATGTTTGGGGTTAAGCAGTACTGAGTCTGCAATAGGGGAGAATTACCACTCTTTGTACAACCCATATGAAAGAGTGTAAGACAGTATATTGGCCAGACAGAAACCAAACTCTTTTGGTCACTGTCTCCTACTTACCTGCATGTATCTAATCTGAAGCATGCAGAAATATAAGCAAAACCAATTAACATTATACATTTGGCATTACAAATTGCCTTTTTTTCTTCTTTTAAATGTTCATCAATTTTTCCTCAACATTTAGACGAAAGTACAGGCCGCTACCATAAAAATAAAGAACTTTATGCTTTTGCTAAAGAGGAGGAAGGGAAGTCAGGAGCTAAGAAAACACTGAGGACCAGATCTTCAGCATTCGCTTATCCGTGTAGCTTCACCGGAGTCAGTCACTGATCCTCAGTGTCCGCATGAAGTTTAAAAATACTTAAAAGGGCATAATTATGAATTCATAGACCATAAGGCCAGAAGGAACCATTAGATCATTTAGTCTGACCTCCCATATAACACAGACCAGGCCAGAGAATATCATCCAGTTACCTCCATATTGAGCGCAATAACTTATGTCCGGCTACAGCACCTCTTCCAGAAATGCACCCAGTATTGATGTGAAGACTTCGAAAGATGGAGAATCCATCACTCTCTTTGGTAGTTTGCTCCCATGATTACTCACCTTCACTGTCCCAAAGGTGTGCCTTATTTCTAAACGTGTGCCCAGAATTCATCTGGTTTTAACTTCCAGCCATCGGTTCTTAGCACTACTTTCTCCACTAGATTAAAGAGCCCTTTGAGTAATCAGTATTTTCCTCCCCATTATCAAATCATGTTGTGATCTTCTGTTGGATAAACCAGACAGACTGACCTCCTTGGGTATCTCTACACTGCGCCTGGGAGCAAGCTTCCCAGCCACTTGTGTTAATGGGGCTTGTGCTCGCGCTCTAAAACTGGTTGTGTAGACGTTGTGGCTCGGGCTCTTGAACCTGGCGGGGCAGGCGCTGGAGGGTTGGGCTTGACAGCCCAAGCCACAATGCCAAAGCAACATCTACACAGCTATTTTGAGTGTGCTAGTGGGACCCTTGCTAACACAAGTATGCGGACCAGGGCTTTCGCTCTCAGGGGCAGTGTAGACACACCCGCTAAGTCTCTCACTACAGGGCACTTTGCATATGGCTTAAGGAGCTTACTGTTTGAATTTTCCTTGAGAACAAACGAGTCTATTTTTTAAGGGGCCTCTGGGAAGGTGGCAGTTGCTTGAAAGGTCTTTTTTAGGGTGGCTGGGATATTATTTCCCCTTCCTGCAAACAGGGCTTTGGAGCGGAGCCCAGAGCTGGAGCCCGGAGCAGCTCCGGAGCAGTGGAGCTGCAGGTTTTTGCCTGGAGCTGGAGCGGAGCCGGAGCACAGCTCCAAAGCCCTGCCTGCAAGATCCCGTTGGTTGCCGCCCTACATGGTGGAGGCTGCTCAGCGTCCACAACTGAGACCAGGTGTTCAAAAAAGCCCCACCCCCAACGTGCTGAGCGCTTCAGAAAACCCAGCTCCAGCTGGGAGTACTGAACCCAGCCAAAAGTTCCAGCCTCAATGTGGCCGGGGACAAACCAGGGTTTGCACTGTCTCATCTAATGGCACGTCTGTCGCCAGTCCCCATTAGTTCAATGGGCTGAATGCCTTTAGGTTACGTCTACACTGTGAGCTAAGGGGGTGACTCCCAGCTTGGGCAGACAGACTCGCGCTAGCTCCCGTCTGAGCCAGCGCACTATCAGCAGTAGTGAAGCCGTGGTAGCACGGGCTGCTACAGCTGCAAACTCCATCTTGCCCCGGGACTCAGCCTACGTGAGGCTGCACCTTCTGCTGAACTGCGGCAATCGACACAAAACCTGCACCTGGCATCATCACACTGTTCTCAAAACGATGGTGACAGCCCAAGATCTCAACTTGTGTCATGACAGAGAGGTGCATCAAAGCCTCATGACTCAGGCGGGAGGAAACCAGCGTGCAGCTGTCAGAGCCAGCATGGAGCTGAACCTTTAAAACATCAGTCTGATTCTAAGCATCCCAATAACCGCCTTCCTTGAAGTCCTTGGAAAGCTATAAAAATAAATCCCACACTTGTTACATCCATTTAAAACCAAATTAAACCTCTGATGGGAGCAGAATCCTGCTTTGGAATGACAGCTTCCATGGATGTATATTTTTGGTTGGTGTCTTTTAACTTGCATTTTTTTATTGACATCTTCATATTTTACCAGCATGCATTAACTTGAAAGCATTCAGCAGTTACTTCTAAGATATTGAGGGAAGGGAAATGGTTTATTGGATTTTTAAATCAGAGGCTAAAGCTTTTATTAATCAGCCATTAATAACAATATTCGGCACAGCATAACAAAATCTGAGGTTGTAAATATGAAATATGCAAAATGGGCTATCACAACCACTGTGAACTAATCCCAGGATTTTACAAGAAGCACGTCGTGCGTGGATTGCTTCCAGAAATCTGGGGGGGAATCTCAAGTGGGGAGGTTTTCCTTCATTTTAACCTTGCTTGCACTAGGGAATTCTACCCCAAAAATCCCACTAAAAGCATCAGTAGAAGTCCTAGTGCAAATAAAGCTCCTGCGGGTGGATGTCTTAGGTTGCATGTACACTTTGAGCTGGGGGTCTGATTCTCAGCTTGTGTACAAAGAAAAAGGAGGACTTGTGGCACCTTAGAGACTAACCAATTTATTTGAGCATGAGCTTTCGTGAGCTACAGCTCACTTCATCGGATGCATCCGATGAAGTGAGCTGTAGCTCACGAAAGCTCATGCTCAAATAAATTGGTTAGTCTCTAAGGTGCCACAAGTCCTCCTTTTCTTTTTGCGAATACAGACTAACACGGCTGTTACTCTGAAACCTGTCAGCTTGTGTAGACACTCATGCTAGCTCTCATCTGAGCTAGTACAATAAAAATAGGTCTTCAGAGACTCTGATCCCCATTAAACTAGCAGACTCTCCATCGAAGTCAGTGGAGTTACACCAAGTGTAGAACTGAGGAGAGATCAGAGCACACGTTCCTGGCAGCTCAGTGACAGAGTTTGCATCCTGGGCTCACTCAGACTCTGCGAAGCAAAGTACCTGCCAATCCACACCTCCAATTGCCAGCTGCAGCAATCTGTGATTTACGATTACAGGTCTTGCTCAGGGAATTTAATTGACCAGTGAACTTGTCCATTTATCCTGCTTTCTCCCAGAGTTATGAATCTTGGCAGCTGTAGTGTGCAGCCAGAAGACAGTAATTGGAATCTACACGGATCCCGGGGGTGGAAGAATTTCACATGAATCTCAAGAAGTTTGGATGTTCATGCTCCACTGATGAGTTGTCTTGAAATTTTGCATCAGCAGAAACAACAAATGTAGTGCATCCCAACGGTTAGCTGGGAAAAGAGCCTCCTTGGCTTTTTTCCTTTTCCATGATACTAGTTATTTGGTAGCATGCTCTGGGAGAACATTTTACATATGCATCCAGTGTAATATACTGCTGTGTTCCTAGACAACACACAGCTTCATTCACAGAGTAATTGATCTAAGGGAGAAATTCTCTGCCATGCAGAGTAATGTAGGCAGCACTTAAATCCTCAAAATAGGACGTAAGTGGTTTGTCGGCGTTGTCCCGACTCCTCTGCATAGGGAAGAATTTCATTCCCAAAAGATTCCAGACAAAGCTTGGTATCACAGAAGCAGTAGTGACTGATCCAAGGCCCGCTGAAATCAACATGAGCCTTTCCATTGGTGTCCATGGGCCCTTAGAGCGTAGAGCCCTGTTATAATTCCCAACCTCGTGTAGCTTTTGGCTGAGACTTTCAAAGCTGACTAATGGATTTGGATGCTCAAATACCCATTAAAATTAATTCAGGGAGTCAGGCAGCCAACCCTCTTAGGCAGCTTTGTAAATCTCAGCCTTAGGATATACCAGAACAGGTAGATTTTAAGTGGTACAGTAAAAATACCCAAGAGAAAAACTGCATCTTCATTGCAAATATCTGCCAACTCTCGCCTGGATCTAAAAATACTTGCAGTGTAACACACACAACAGGCTAATTGTGCAGGTATGAGTCACATCTCTCACCTTAGAAAGGGATGAAGTGACACATGCTGCTTTGGCTCAGCAGTGAGTTACTATTTTTGCACTTCCTTTACAATGGGGATTTCTTAGAACTTCTTTCCTCCCATCCTTTAGATGACAGCACCATGGAAAGCCTTTGAGAAACCCTACAGGATTAGCTCTCTCTCTCTTCTTCTCACTGTCTCCCTTTCCCCTCCCACCTGCTTCTCTCCCCTCCCCCACCCACTGAGCTCACTTCCAAGGAATGACTCAAACAAGTTTGAGATCATTATCTTTCATCGGTGGTGCACTGTTTGTTTGTTTTTAACCCCCCTTCAAGATATGGCATTTAAAATGCATAAATTGTTACCATGGGTTGTTGAACTTCCACTTTGATGATATCTTCGTAGATATCATCGCCTTCATCTTCACAAGGGACGCAGTCGTAAATATCCTCCCCCAGATCATGTTCACTGAAAGGAACATAAGAGGATTTAGAAATACAGAGGATACATTTGCTATAGATTATGCAAGCAAGCTGCTGCATCCAGGAAAGAACGGGGGAGGGGGAAGAGGGAGACATCCCAAAAAACTTATGTCCTCATTTCTCTTTCCCATTTTGCATTAAGGAGGCACTTCTTTTTTGTATCAGCTACCACAGTATGATTTCACCTCCAGGCCTCCCACTCGGATGCTGGAACGATGCAAAACACTTTGCGGTGTAAGCCCAGGGACCTAGCCATCATCACAAGGCAGCATGGACTAGTGGATAGGAAACTGGAGTGGGAGTCAGGAGCTCTGAGTTCTACTCTTGGCTCTGCCTTGGGCAGCTCACTTCTCTGTGCACTTTTATTTCCCTCCCCCGCTTTTGTCTGTCTTCTCTATTAGATTGGGAGATTTTCAGGGCAGGGACCATCTCTCTCGAAGCGTTTGCACTTTTAGCTGGGGCCTTTGGGCACTGCTGCAACACAGATGACACCTATGTTTACACCAGCGTCTGAGGTAAAACTCCACACCTGTAGTACTTCTAAGAGACCAGCCTATTTCAAACATCAAAAGAAACTGGTGCCCCTCCTGGCCTCAGACCCAGCAGCTATTTACAGCACTTTGGCTGTTCTAAGCACTGGCTCGACATCACCCCTGGGAGGCTCACAGATTCATCGATTTCAAGAGCAGAAGGGACCATTGTGATCACCCAGTCTGACCTCCCAGTGACTGCACACTAAGCCTGGGCTCTGACTCAGGGTGGAGCCCAAGGCCCTCTTCTGTCCACACACAGATCAGTCTGACTCAGGTCAGCAAGCACTCAGGACCCTGCTAGGCAGGTGGGTCAGAGCCCAAGTCCCACCGTGACTGGGTTCCAAGCCCTGTCTCTTTGGAGTGTGGATGCAGCTCAAGCCACAGACCAAAGCCAGAAGGCCTGCATAGTATGGTATGGATGTGTTAGCATGACTGAGAGACCTGGGTTCAGCAATGATAAACCCAGGTTTACAATGCAGTGTGAACGCTCAAGCATAGGCTTGGAAATATCAGATATTACAAGGCTGGGTCCCACAGACCTGGGCTTAGTGGGCAGCGTTGACATCCCCGCACAGGCTACAGCCAAAATCAGGGCCAAGATGCAGGGTACTATACAAACACCGAGTGAGAGTCCCTGCCCTGAAGAGCCTTATTACCCCTGTTTTACATATGGGGAACCGACTGAGAGGTGAGGGGACATGCCCAAGGTCGCACAGGGAATCAGTGGCAGAGCCAGCATTAGACTGCAAGTCCCCCTCACACCCAGCCCTGTGCTCATTCCTCCAGAAACTGTTGCCTTCCAACGGGCTTGGGGGAAATGCACGCGGCTGACGAGGTATCTGAAAACACACATGTGCATCCAGTTGCTTCTTTGCTATGAGGCGGATGAAAGAAACAGGACCAATATTCTTGACACTTGGTTACTCTTTCAGCTGACCCACGGTGTTGATGAACTGACAACGCATGAAGCAATTGGCCATTTATTCCTGTTCCACTTAGTAAACACTGGCTCAGACGCTGAGCTACTATCCATCAGCGTAGCGCCGCTGCCTCGGATGGATCTACGCCAACTTACACCAGCTGACGATCTTGCATTTTATCCAAAGGGCCAAATTCAGACCTGGGGCCAGCTCCATTGGCTCCAACAGATTTGCCCCCATGTACACCAGGGATTAATCTGGCCCAGAGAGGGGCCTGGAGCCATAGCTCATACACCCTTTATTGCCAGTACTGGCATTGTAACAGCGCTCAGGGGCCGCAAACAGGTCTGGGACCTGCCTGTAGTAGCAGATGTGCAAACACACACAGACCCTGTTCTGAAGAGCTTAGAATCTAGACTTTAATCACACACACACACACACACACAAACACACACACACCCCGCAGAGAGAGTGACTGTGAGCAGCAGAAAAATAAATCTGTGTAGATTTTTTACAGCCTTATTTTTCAGTTGCTAAATATCTATTACTCTGACCATCTCTCCTGTATGTCTCCTACCACACTTACACTCTGTTACCCACATTCCCAAAGCAGTCCGTACCCCGAGGCATAACTATAAGGAGGCTTGGCATAATTAAGTTTTTATTTTTTTGTAAAATAATTTTGACGGATAACATCAGTGTTTATTTTCAAGCATTTTAAAATCAATTTACATTTTCACAGTTGTGGGCATTTATTGGGGGCAGTGCGGGAGGGGGTCCAGATGATTATTGTTTAATGACAGTAGACACTGAAACTGAAAAAAAGTTAAAGCTTTATAGAACCGTTTAAACCCAAACTGTCAACATCACATATCAAAATATACATCGTAAATGTCCTTAAATCAAACTCTAACAAGTTCTCAAGCAGCATTTGTCTTTCTTTGCCTGTCTGTACATTTTGATCATCAGCAAAGGAAATACTTTGTCGTCAGTTTCTGTGTGTACAGTGAAATCGACTTTTACCAATAAAAAACTAATCCTTCCAAGCCTAATTAAAAGTGTTAACGGGCTTAATAAATTCTACAGGGTCAAAAACAGCAATGTGGCTCTGAGACCTTGAACTGTCAGATCAAGTTTACACTAACAGCTGTCTGAGCTGTTAACTTCCAAAAGGGTATCGGAATGGTGTTCTTCGCCTTTCTTTTAACTCAGAAATGCTTGTGGCGATCTTACAGCTGAAACACAAAGCTTTGTTTCTTGTTGCACAAGGGGAAATATTGCCACTCTGTGCCAATGCTTTCTTTAAACGCTGTGTGTGATAGAATCACACATCCTGTGTTCAAAGCTATGCTCTGGCAACCTTTGCTTCCACAAGTCATTGAAATGCTAGAGAAGATCCCTACACAGCCAGAGGAACAAGAGAAGGTTCAGGCAGAGGGGAGAGCAGCACACAAAGAGACTATATTTAAGCAACAGATCTTTATTGTTATTATTTTTATTAATACAATTATTATGGCAGTGCACAGATACTCTGACTGGGCCCCACTGTGCTGCTAGGTTCTGTGCTGACACAGATCCCAGATCTGGAGTCAGATCCATATGGACGTACTCCAGCATGTGCATGGGGCCTCACTGACTTTCATGGGACTCTGCACAAGTGCACAGGTCCAAAGGGGTGGATCCAACTGGGGAAACCCGGATGCAAGAGGAAGATGCAGAGATGATAGTCCTATTCAAATAGCCATTGCCCACTCCCATGATTTTACTGTGAGTATTGTGAGTTTTGGTGCGTTTCTTAAAGCCCCAGCTCCTGGAGTCATGTGAATATATGCAAATCTCAGCTTTCATTGTTACAGAGTGAGTTTCTACCTTGATGGTTGCCAGAAAAGCTTGAAAAAACAACTCAAGTGCACCTTAAAGACTTATGGGGGAAAAAGCAGAAGGCAAATGAGAAGAAATCAACGTTTTGTAAAAATCTCATAATTTTTATGCCAATCTCATGATTTTGAGCACTTGGGATTGGTGATACTGAACTAGAAACATGAAGTTGGCCTCAGCTTGATTTTAAACATATTTCTTTTATTTTACACACACACACACACACACACAGTATGTACATTGAAGATCAAAGAAACATGGGCTTTGGATTTACAGTGTTTGTTTCATTCAGTGGCTCAGTAAATCTAAAAGAGGCTAAATGCTGATCTCAGTTATTCGGATGTATTATTTATACTGAGGTAGCATATACCAGTCACTGATCAGCGCTGCCCTGTGCCAGGCACTGTACGAACATGGTAATACAAATAAAATAATAATGGTCCCTGGACTGAAGGGCTTGCAATCTAAGTAAATCCACCCTGCTTCTTTTAGGCTGCAGTAACAGAGTCCCCTGTACTAAGCTTGCTGTAAAATACCAGATTTGTGGGTAAAATGGTCTTTGACCTTCAATATCTTCCAAAGAGAAGAATCTGGATTGAACAATTGCTGAGTCCACCCCCCGAGCGATTTCTATCTTGTCTCTGTGCTAGGCAATGTATTTTTAGAAGCCTGGATTTGAATTATTTTCACTCTCCCTAGAAAAAATATAAACAACTCTCCAGGATGAAACTCAAAGCAAACTGCTGACTGACCCAGCAAAAGATGCTAACACATCAATGCAGAGGTAGCTAAGAGGCACCCAGAATAATGTGATATTGTGCAGGATCATAGTTGACTGAGAGGCCTGCTTTCAGAAAAGCTTTGAAGAGGGCAAACAAACATTCTTAGCTGTGTGAAGTACATCTCCTTCTGCCAGAAACAGAAGGGAGCATGTAGAGAGGAACCAAATACTGTAGGCTCAGCAAAAGTCCCAATGCCTTGCAACACAGAAAGAGAGAATAAGATAGACACAAAATCCAACTCAGGATCAGGGCTGGCAAGACAACAAGACTGAAAATATTTGCAAAAGTGGGTTTTATTTCTCTTTGACGTGCCATTATTTCCGTTTCTAAATAGAGATGCAGTCGATAAAAGTACATTCTTAAAGAAACGCACCAGTGTGCTGTATCAACTCTGTTCCTACAGAACACTACGCTGCAGCTGCCGTAATGCCCGCTAACAGCAGTGATCCATCTTCCCTTTTTCTAAGCGTCGTCGCAGAAGTTATTCTCTGTCCCAATATTTGTATTCTGAGCTCTTCCCCTCAGCCAGAGCGACTCCCTCCAGATTCCCAATTTATCTTCCATTCCAGCAGGCACCCATCAGATTTCTAGCCACACCGCCATACATCATTCTGGTGGCTAGAAAGTCATTAGGAAGCTTATGGTTGAGTTAATATCGCACCTGCTATTCCTTCTATCAGCCAGCAGGACGATGGACTGGGTGACCAAGACAAAAGAGCCGTGTGTGAAGCCCCCGAACGTTGCCAGCCCAGCACCCACAGCTACTGCCCCACCATGACTAAGTCTCGGGGCTCAGCACCAGGGCATCGTTCTGTTTCCAGCTCCTGCACTGCCACTGGCTTCCCTGCGTCCTCACCCTAACATGCAACCTGA